ATATATTAAAAAAATTTAGCATGTGACAAATACACTCACGATTTTAACCTTCCAAACCTACTCCTTCCCTTCTTCTTCCTTTCTGATAAATGGCTGCTTCTACACTGTCCATATGGTAGCCATGAGCCACAGGAAGCTGTTAAAAACTTGAAAAATACTTTACGGGGATCAGCAGATGGCATAATGGTTATGTCGCTGGATTCCCACGGAGTTGACCACTGTTGCAGTCCCAGACCGGGTGACTTAAAATTCAGGCCAGGCTTGTGTGCATGTATGCCCAAAACCCCAAGAAGAGAATGAAGGAGAAGGGACTGCAGCATGGCCATCCCCTTCAGGGTGAGTTCTCACTTTCTGTCTCTCTGGTGAGTGTACACATCCTATATAGCAAAAATTTCTTTTCTTTCTTTTTTTTTTTCGGAGAGGTTTTCACTATAGGGCGCGTACGCTCGCCGGACAGACAGAGGAGAGAGACCGAGAGACAGAAAGCGAGAAATCACCCCCCCCCCCCCCGGGGGAATGGGCCCGCCGCCAACCCCCCGGGAATGGCCACGCCGCAATCCCCTCTCCTCCATTCTCCTCTTGGGATCTTGGGCATGCATGCACACGTGCCCGGCGTGAGTTTTAAGCCACTGGGTCCAGGACGCAAACCGCGGTCGACTACATGGGAGTCCAGCAACATAGCCATTACGCTAACTGCTGGTTCCCGCAAAAATTTCTTAAAAAAAAAAAAAAGAAAGAAAGAAAAATAGCTGTTGAAACTGAGACATATTGAAAATGTAAAATGCACAGATTGAAGACTAAGTGTGAAAAACAAATGCTAAATATCTCATTAATAAATTTTTATATTGATTATACATTAAAATAAGGTCTTAGGTAATTGGGCTAAATATATATTACTTAATTTCATCTGCTTCTTTTCACTTTCTTAAACATGGTTTCTTGAAAGTTCTACCTATGTGACACATATTTTTATTGGACAATGTCCATTTGTGCAAGCTAAAAACCTCAGAATCATATTTAGTTCTCTATTAGCAAATCCTATTCAAAACAGATCCAGAACTCAACAACTTCTCACCATTTCACTGCTGTGTCTTTTCCCCAACACGCGTACGTGAGTCACTTTGTCTTGTTTGGATAATTGAAATAGCTTTCTAACTTATCTTCTTGCTTCCTCCCTTGGTAGTCCTTACAGTTTTTCTGACATTCCCCCTCAAGTTGCAGAATGATCTTTTTAGAAAGTCACCAGTTTGTGTCATTCCTCTACTCAAAATCCTCCAACTAGCTTTTTACTAGAGTAAGGGCCCAACTCTTAAAATGGCCTAGGAAGCCTTACAAGATCTGGCTGTCCTAATCTCTTACCACTCTCTTCACTTGGCTACAGGGGACTGTCTTCATTCCATCAAGAATGGTCCTACCTCAAGGCCTTTGTTCTTCCTGTACCTCTGCATGTGACCCTGGAACATCCTCTTGTCTCTTTCAGTTTAGCATCACTTTACTGACCATTGCATTTAGATCGCAAACCTCCCTCTTCTTCTTTTTTAAAGAATTATTTAATTTTATTTATCATTATTATTATTTGCTATATAGGACACAGGTGCTCATCAGAGAGAGACAGACAAAGAAAGGGAAAGTGAGTAAGCAAGCCACCAGGACCAGGACTTGAACTGCAGTTGGCCATGTGGGAGTTCAGCACCTTAACCACCATGCCACCTACTAGAGCCAACAAACTTTCCTCTTCTGGCTCATTCTACACTTCTCCTTGCCCTGCTTTATTTATTTCATTTTGTTTTGTTTTAGAGTGGGTGCTTGCCAAAGAAAGGGAGACAGAAAGTAAACCCCCGTGGCTGTGCCCACCATGGCCACGCTGAAATCCTTTCTCCTCCATTCTCCTCTATAAATTTTGGTCACACGAAATTTTGGGCATTCATGTACAAGTGTCCAGTGTGAGTTTTAAGCGGCCAGGTGGAGAACTCAAACTGTAGTGGGCTCCATGGGAGTTCAGCGACTTAAACATTAGGACAACTGCTGGTCCCGCCCTGCTTTATTTTTTATACCCTTTGATTATCCTACATAATTTTCTTAATTTGCTTATCTGTATCCCACCAATGAAATGCAGTCATCTCATGAGGGCAGTAACTTGGTGCTGCATTCCCAGCACCTGTGTCAGGCAAGTAGAAAGCCTTCAGAATTGAGCTGTGGATTCCCAAACTCAGTTTGGGGCCATTTGCAACTAGCCATATTCAGAAATCCACTGAAACAAATATTTCAGTTTTGTTTTGTTTTTAACCGCATTATCCTTCTTGGAACTACAATAATACCACAATAAAGAAAGCAAGATTCTTCACACCCAGTTACCTCTGTCCATTTTCTCAGGAACATTGAGTGCCTTCGAAAAATCCTGAAGTTGGGTTTTCTTTTCCCTGAGGCATAAAACCTCCTTAGGTATCTGCTCAAGTTTTGAATTTCTGGCCTAAAACCAGTTTAGCTTAATGTCAGGCTATCTCCAGGTCAGTCCAGGGTACGTTTGGACAACCGGGCGTGGGACACAGCAGTGGCATCGCGGTCTCCCCTGCGGACGGCCACCCTTCACCCACCTACTACTCCTGGGCCTGATTCAGGAGGGTGCAACCAGTCAGGCCGGGAGCCAGGGGTGGCACGTGTCGGGGGGCACCCTTGTTTAGTCACGGGGAAATCAAGGCTCAGAGAAGTCCAGAACAAACCAAACGCATTCTGGTCGAAAAGGCACCTGAAGCCAGGTCTCCTGTCCCCCACACTGGGCCTCCCCACGAAAGCATCCCGCCGGGCGGCGCCACCTAGGCGGCAGCTTGGTGCCGCAGGATCTTCCCGTCCCACAGCCGCTCGCAGGAGTCAGTGCTGGGGACCCCCTGCCGCCGCCCCGTCTCCGAGACAAGGAGAAAGAACCGCCCCGGCTCGGCCGCAGTGGCCGCCCCGACCCC